TGTCAGTGTGTTTCCTGTTTGGTAATTGCAGTCATTGTTGCTTTTGTTGTGACCATCCATTTACAAAAAAAAAAAAAAAAAAAAAATACAGTCAAACTTGAATTTCAGATTGATAAGACATAAAGAACCCTGTGATGGTTGATTTTGTGTGTCCATGGGGCTAGGCCATGGTGCTGATTTCTGGTCAAATATGATTCTAGATGTTGCTGTGAAGATGTAATGAACATTTAATTCGTTGAGTTGAGTAAAGCAGATAAGCCTCTGTAGTGTGGGTGGGCCATATCTAGTCAGTTGAAGGCCTTAAGAGAAAAGACCAAGGTTCCCCCCCCCCCCAAAAAAGAGAGAATTCTGTCTCCAGATAGCCTTTGAACTTGGGCTGCAACTTTTCCCTGGGTCTCCAGCCTGCCCTGCAGACTTCAGATTTGCCAGCTCCCATGGCTGTGAACCAATTCCTGTCTCTCTGTCTGTCTCTCTGTGTGCATCTCTCTCTCCATTCTATTGGTTCTATTTCTCTGGAGAACCATGACTCATACAGTTGCTAATATGTCTTGCACAAAATTTGGGACATACTTGTACTAAGAAAAAGAAAAGTATTTGTTGTTTGCCTGAAGTTCAAATTTATCTGAATGTGCTGTATGCTTATTGTTATACCTGGGGCCCAGCCAGAATGTCCCATCCTATCAAGATAACATATCTCTGCTGGGAATAGCCACTCTGTGCCTCACTGCCACCAACCAGAGTCAGTGAAAAAGGGGAGCTGTGCAGGGGTGGAGGGGGGGCCGAGGCTGTACAACACTTACCCCTTTATTCTTACACTTGAGCTAAATTGCCTTCCGAGGAGCCAGAGAATCTCTAAGAATCACTTGATGAAATGTTTTAAGGACAAAGACACCAAGATTCACTTCTGTGATTAGGGCTGGAAACTCAAATGTAGTGTATGAGCTCACTGACAGCACCCCCTACAAACACACACACTACGTTCATTCAACCTCAGACGATCCTGCCACCCCCCCACC